TTACGATATCCTCTATAATACCGCGAACGGCCCCGTGGCAATGAGGACCGCTACCGCGTACTACGACGCGTTCGCGGCCGAGACGGACGTGGAGACGCGAAAAACACTGTACATGCACGCCGAAGCGGCCGTCATTGCATTTGCAGATAGTATAATGGACAAGGAGAACCTCGAAACCGTCCGCGGGCAGCTTTGGGAGCTTAGAGTACATGCCGCATTTGCGTTTATGACGTAGTAAAATAACCTTTTCCCGGAACATCCATCAATGTTCACGCGCGCGTGCTGGCATCGTCGTCGCCCACAGCGTCTGGCGTCGTGCTCACCTTGCTGCTCACGCCGCCCTCTGGACATTCCATTTTCCTCCCGCTATGCCATCCACGTGTGGGGCCAACCCTCAGCCTTCCCCCAGTGTTTCGACAAGGCGATCCTTGACATGGCAGGTGGTGTCGTGCCATGTCACACCCTTCTCGCTGTCGTATTCTGCCGTCTGTGTGGACCACTGGCACCGACCTCCTCCCTGCGAGTCCGCCTCCTCCATCCACGTCAACCGGGCCCACTCATGTATAACCCAACGCGCCCCTCGAACACCCCTGCCAACTCGCTCGTCGTATGTCGTCGACATGTCACCGGGATGACCGGCGACAGTACGTGCGCTCAAAAAGAAGCGCCATCCACAGTTATAAAAGCAAAGGAGCTGGCAATACGTCGCTGCCTCCCCCGCTGCCTCCCCCATGCTTCCTCACGGCGCCGTGCGGTCGGGAAACCTACCCGGCGTTCTCAATGCCCCCGAGAAACGCACGTTCCTCGCAAGCACGGGTACCACCGATGGTCGCTAACGCGCCCACCCGTCGACGTCCGTGGCCTCGTTCCTCAGCAACAAGGGCCCGCACCCGCCCTGTGATTGCTCCTGTCGCCGACGACCACATCGACCCGGTCGGCCTTCCCACAGCCAAACCCAGACGCGGCAAGGCAAAAGTCGATACCGCAAAGGCATTCGCAGCGTTCTACGCCAACCGCGAAGCTCTCCTCGAGCGCACGGTCGCCAACAGCACCTTCGACCTTCATACTCTCGCCGCCACGACCCTCTCGAATTACGACGCGTACGAGCGCCTCTGGCTCGAGTACTTTACGCTATTCTTCCAATCACCCAGAATCGCCGCACTCACTCTGCAAGGAGGTCAAGCGCTCCCGGAGGAGGGCGTCATCAAGTCCTTCTTCGAGTTCATCGCAAAGACGCGCGGACCCAATGGCCGCGGTCTCTCGTACATCAGTGTGACCAAGATACAGAGTGCCGTCATGGGCATGGTCAGTTTCCTCGCTCGCTTCCCCACCCCATACGTTATGCTCATCTCTGCGTGTAAAGTTATACAGGCGCGGCGTAGAGACGCCTAGCTCCGGTTACCGGGAGTCTATCAAGAATGTAAGCACGACGTGTTACGTCTCCGTACGCTTCGCTCACCCACCGCGCAGATGATAGACAGGATGGCCAAACAGACCGGCGAGATCGAGGACCGCAAACGCGAAACCCGTCTTGTGCGCAACTGCGACCTCGTCACCTTCCTCGGGGCCATTCTCGATCCCGGGCTCGCGATCGGGTCTCAGAAGACCCGTGTCTTTCTCTACTTCCTGACGACGGTCATGGCCGAGCTCGGCACGCGCATCGGCACTTGGACGGAGGCGTTCAACGCGCAGGGTCTCGTCCAGTGCACTCGCTGGGCAGACGCCGAGGTCTTCATCGAGGGCGGCGACCAGTGGGGGCTGGACGTGCGCGTGTTCTTCACCTTCCGCTGGATGAAGAATCACAAGCATGACTCCGAGAGCTTCAAAGCTTCCTGCCGCGCTCTGCACGGACCCGAGGCGCACACCGACCCGGTCCTTCCGCTTCTCGCCATTGGCTGTCACTACGCCGTATGGGAAGAGACGGAACAAGTGCTGGAGTGGATGACGGGGCGGCGCCGCCGCCCACAGAAAGGGTCGCGCTCACCGTACGTGACGAATTCAAGAAGACCGGCATCCTTCGGGCATCCGTTCAGCCAAAGGACTGGTCGGACCTCAACACCACTAACCAGCCACTCATGTACCAGCAACGCCCGGAGCCGCAGGCTTACAAGACGTCGAGCTCCTCGAGCGCGCACACCTACGCTGGCAAGATAGGCAGGCACTGTGGACTCGCGGACTTTCATTGGAAGGTCCTTCGATATACCCACAGCGAGCACGTCAAAAAGCACGCTGGCAAGGTTTGTCCAGCCTCCTCCTCCCTCTTTCCCTCGCAATTTTGGCTCACGACATGCTCAGGAGATCGTCGCTATCGCGATGGGTCACCGTCATGGCTCTAGTCTGAGCTACATGACATATCGAGCTCCAGTTATCCCTGAGGACCTGCAGTCGCGCCGCCGCGGTCAGATAGAGGACACATCCTCCATCGATTTCTACAACTCCATCGCACGCAACGCGGTCCCTCCGTCTACCGCGAGCCTTCACGAGGAGACGATCAAGCGCACGTTCACCGATTCCAAGGTCGAGAAACTTGGCCTCTTGTACGAGCAACTCGACTTCAAGGTGCACGAGAAATATGGGAAATGGACCGACGAGCTGCCCGACGTCGAGGACGACGAGTTACTAGAGGAGGCAAGGGACTTGCAGAACAAACTCCTCCGTGCACTCTTTGACCTGACGCTCTCCGTGAGTGACGTCTCCATCGCCGGTACAAAACCTCGACTGAGACCAAGCATAGGTCACGTCCGGTCTTCCCTCCGAAACCGTCGGCCCGCCCGACGAGGAAATCTCTACGTCCAGCGAGGATACGCCATCCGAGTCTCGCAGTGCGTCGCTCGGACGGCTTATCGACGCTCTTGTCGCAGGGCACCCCTTCCTACCTCTCGTATCTCAGGACGGCGGGCGTCACGGGCGGCGCGCGGTCTTTCAAGCGTTCACATGCATGATGGGGCTGGACGAGTTGGCACTTCACCGCAAGTGCTATCTCTGCTTGCGCGAGGGAACGGACAAGGACCTCAAGGGCAACTATGGTGTGCACATGTGGAAGTGCATGGAAGCTCACTTCAGTAGCACCCACACGCGATGCCCCTTCTGTGGTGTTATCTTCCTGAACGACGACGACGAGGGAAAGGATGATGTTGGAGAGTACGAGCAACATCGCCAACAATGCTACGTCCTCGCCATGGCAGAGTTCAATGAAAACATCGAGGCCACCGAGCTCGCAGGCCGTCCCCTGTACGTGTTTCAGGTTCCCCAACTGTCCGCACTCATGCTCACGCTTTACCCAGCGGTATTGACTCGTACAAGAGAGTTCTGGATTCCGAGAACGCTTGTCGTACCGTGTACTACTGCCCCGTCTGCATCAATGATCACGATAATCACTGGGATAAGTGTGGCACAAAGTAAGTAGTTCCTCGGTCGACGGCGCATACATATACTCATCCCTCCCAAGCGACAAGAGCGCGAAGGAGATGATACGCTACATGATGGCCATTGCAAGACGATATTGGCACCCAAGTTTGCCCTCGAACGTACCTATTACTGTAGCATCTACACCTGTCGCAAGAGCGCCCCGTCTGTGTATGTTGGTTCCTCGAACATCGTCGACCAGCCGCTGACCTGCCCGCAGCAAGTACGACACGGTCGGTATGTTGGACCACTGGCACAACGTGCACGGGTACAGCCTCCTCCAGTGCGTCGACAACCGGCCAGGGCACGATCACGCACAGGACGGCACGCTCTCCTTGCGCGAGTCGGTCGAGCTCAGCAGCTCCGTCCCCTACGCCGAGGACAAGCACATTCTATACCCCGAGGACGTCGACCTCTTGCGTGCACGGCTCGCCGGGAAAGTGACGGGCGATGTGTTGGATGTTGCGTACGTTTGCCTGACGGAGGTCTGTCGCAAGGCGGACGCGAGGAGGCGGGCAGCAAAAGTGATTCGTGAGAAGACCAAGTAGCTGATGGACATATGAGTGCGATGACGACGTACAAATTCCGAGTGCAATTCGACTGGTAGTTCCGTAAGCTGCGAGTGGGAAGAGCGATGTAAAAGCGAGAGCGACGAAAGCGACGAAAACAAAGAATGAGAAAGCGAAAAACGAGGATATCAATAGCGAGGATTAATCCTTTTCAATGGACGGCATGAGAGCGTTGAGGGCTGCCAAGGCACTCTGCGCGATGGTGACAACTTTCTTGCCGCTCTCGACCACGCGGGCGCGACGCGCCTTGTTCGTTACCGTGGCCGTGAAGGTCGTGTTCTCCAAACTGTTGACCACCTGGCCGGCGTCGAGTAGTTGTTGAAGGTCCTTTTGAAGAATCTGTAGGAAGTTGTGGACAGCATCCGCAGTCTGATCGAGGGCTTTGCATGAGCATATATGCGCCCCATTATGAGGTGGGTGGTGCACGCACTGAAGGGGCCTGGGCATCGTCCTGGCAGAATCCATCATTGTATGCGCGATATGCAGGTCTGACGGAACGCACCATAGACACGTCTGCCTGCAGCCACTCCTCGACATCGATCACTTCGGGGACCGGCGAAGGCGTCGTCTCACGCTTCAAAAGGCGTCAGTCATGAATTCGTATGCGCAGATCATGTACGCACCCTGACGCGCTTGCCGGCGCGACGTTCCTCGCCGGGTACAACACCGGCGCCGGGTAACACCAGCGCCAGCTCAGATGGACGCGGGTCTGGGACTTTGGCCACCGCGCGCAGTTCCGCTTCTTGGACTTGGGCGCGACAGACTCCTCCGCGACGCCAGCCGCGCGCTCCTGCTCCTGCATCTTCATCTGCAGAGCGATGCGCTCGTCCAAGCTCTGAAGGAGGCATCGAGTGCATTCCAACGGGTGGCGAGGGACATGCATACCAAGTGGTTCAGGGGCATCTTGACGAGGTGAGCGTAAGAGGCAAGGTATAATTAGGCCGCGATGAGTCCTCGATCATTGTTAAGTACTGCTTGCCTTTACCATTGTTTGACATAGATAAACGCTGCTCAATACCCGCACAAGCCGATGTTGCCTAATGGTCTATGGCGTCGCTTTCCTACAATGTTAGGCGAAGGTTGTGGGTTCGAGTCCCATCATCGGTTTTCGATGGCCCTTTACTGTAGATTTTTTTAATTGTAAGTACTATCAGTCACCCAGTGTATAAACCTACGGCTTCGTAGATTGACACACTGTCCCAAGGATAAATCGATGAAGGTAGGTACACGCATGTCTGGTCAAAAAATGGGAACTTTTCATCTAGAGGGAGGTGCGCAAAAAGTTTTTCAATCGCTTGATGTTCGATCATGTTGAACTTTCGGAAAAACCCGGTCGGGGTTTCAATTAGGCTGCAGAGCGTCGGCAGGCTGTTTCTGCTCTTTCTGCAAGCCATCCGGACATTTACAGCAGCTGTCGAGCCTTACTCATGCAGACCATGACACTTACCACGGAATGCTACCATTATTTCCGTTTCTCCATCTCCCCATTATGCACAGATGCATTGACCCTGCGAAAAGCCATTGAAGACGCGTTAGGGCAAACCTTCGGTGCCACCTGCGCTAAGAGCGCGGTAGACGTGCTCTGGATATCCGAGAATGGGGACGAGTGTGTCCTGAGGACCGCAGAAGCGTAAGCAGGACATCAGTTCAGTACTTCTGAGAACGGTCGTCTCATAATTATCAGGGATGCCAGCAGATTGCTCGCCGCTATGGCTACCTACGATGGCAGTCCTCGTCTAACGCTCATAAAAGAGTCTCCCTTTCTGCCGTCGCTTTTGTCACAAGGAGGCTTGTAGCGAGCATGTACCTTCAATCATCGTCTGCAAATTCTTTCAGGACTAACAAAGTCGAACTTCTCTGCCGCGAATTATTCCACTCCTGATTTTGGACGACAGCCTACCCTTAAGACATTTTCACTGCAAGCTGGTGATTAAGCACAGTGACCACGGCCCCGTCCGAACGCTCCCGTTATCTCAAGAGCATCTCTTACTCGCCGCTGTCGCCTTTCTGCCGCCCTCGAAGTCCTTACCTCGGCCTTGTCTGTCTGCTCCACCGCCTCGCAGCTGCCCGCTGGTTATCAGCCATCGTCCAGTGCTAATCAGTCGAATCGCCACTTCGACATGGTCGCCGTGCACCACGCTGAGAAAAGCCCTGCTGTACTGCAGCCTGCCGAGCGTCATCGGTCTCATTCGGATGCACGAGCGTCCCGAGCCTTCTCGCATTTTACCGGTGAGAACTCCGTGCGCTGACTTGCGTCGATTCTCATCGCGTCCTGCAGGTCTTCCCGTCACACCGGCGCAAATGATCTAGGTTTCACAGAGGAGCCGTGAGAGCCCCGCCATTGAGGGTAAGAGAGTCCGTGATTGGGTCGAATAGGCGAGGCGCAAATTTTGATCCGTCGTGCCACTGGTGACCTTGCGCGCTCCCGTGTCCTATTGAACAGCTACTACTGGACGGCATCTTGCCGCTCTACGATGGCACTGGGTGGCAGGACACTGACCAGGTCCGTCCGTCCCCAAAGCCACCGTCAAACCCGCTTGTTACGGATCTCGCAGGGTAGCAGGTAGGTGGTGGCGATCTGAATTACGTGCAGTCCTCGACACCACGCACCACAATTCTACTCCTATCGGCACGTAAAAGACGCATGATCGTCGGGCGACGAGCACGCTTGGCGGAATTTTTGTGGTTCTGGCAACGGGCGACCTGGCGTAAGGAGGTAAAAGGTGCGTCCGCGAGCACTAAGGCGATATTCCCGCGCTACATACACGTCGAGCGACCCTAGCCCTCGGTCAGCCCTGAGTGAGGCCGACACATTCCTCGGCTATGAGGGTGACGATCCTTCGGTAGCTTGCGCAGGCACAAGTAGGTTTGTACCTTGTACACAGCACAGTCTAAGCCTCACGAGTCCGAGCGCGCGGTTGAGCGCCCGCATGCCCCCAACAGGCAAATGACGAACACCACGGACTTGCCCTCGAGGGCGGCTATGTGCCGCATCAACGCTGGCTGCTTATCGGCTCGAGGGCCCATGGGAAGCTCGGAGAGTTCCGACGGCCGCCTCGCAATTCAGAACTCTCTGGTGTTGCGGATGTCGAGTTCTCCTTCTGGGCAGCCGCGCTCAGGCTCGTGGTGCCGTGCTCAGGCGTACGGTGCCTCGTTTGCGCCTCGTGAGAGGTGCATCACAGCTTCCCGGAGAACGCCCAGGTGGGAAAGATGAAGGGCAGTCACGTCTGCAAAGAGGCGTTATTGCCACCGACCGTACTTCGCAGTGGCGGCTTCTGGCGTACACGGAGTTGCCGTAGGTGCGGTGGTCGCGGTGATCACCCAAACCGCCGTGGTGTTGGGCTCGAGAGCTTAGAGAATGATAATTATGCGGTACAACAACGACAGCAGAATAAACAGCCACATGCAGAGAAAAGCAGGTAAATCTGAGCTCACGAGCGCGCCAGGCGCTCCTTTGCGTACTCAACGAAATCGTCGATGGTCGATGGCCAGGCCGCTAGTCTCGTGATCAGTTCAAAAATCAAGTCAAGAAAGCCGAATCGGTCACCTTCAAGATCGTACTTCTCAAACTTTGAATCAATTGTCCGAACGAACTCTAGGAACTATGACGGAAAAATCATTAGCACACACAACATGCGCAGGAGCATAAATTGGGTACCATCTGCCATGTATCCTTGCTAATACCCTTGATGTTCTTCTCGTCCACAAACTCGAACCACATGTCCGTGAACTCGTCATTCCAGCCGTCCTCGTCGCTCATGTCCACATCGTCGTCATCGTCCCTCCGACGTACGTGTGAGAGTGCGCCGCCTTGTAGACCGTGTGGGATGAGCAGCTGCCAAAACGCCTTCGCCATATCGGCGGCTGGCAACACCGAGTCAGTTCCGCAATTCCTGTACATTGATGCTTGGCATACGCACCAAGACTCCGCGCGCCTTCCTGGCGGGAGAATTCAAACGTGTACGCGTACACCTTGTTGAAGTACTGGGAGTCGGACCCGAGTCGATCGCGCAACTTCATCAGCGTGTTCTGCATCGCGGGAAGCTTGTCACAGCTGAAGTGCCTCGTCAGCATGTCTCGCACGTAGTGTAACGGGCCACGCACCCTAGCCGCTTCCATCCTTCTACCCAGCCCGTCTTGGACCATGAACCGAGCCGCGGTGCCTTGAGCTCGAACGCAACCGCCAGCAGGACTACATCCTCGGGATCGACGCTCAGGTCGGAACACAGCTTGATCGTCCCGTCCGGTCCGATCTCGTCGCCTTCTGATTCTGGCGTGGGCTTAGCATCGCAGCGGGGGTAGGAGCGCGGCGCACACACCCTTGTATCGCTCAAAGAGCTCCGAGATCTTGCTCGTGGACGCCGCGGGCTCCGTCCGCCGCGCAGACGCTGCGAGAGCTTGAGGGTCGCTGTAGTACGCGTCCACAGCAACGTCCACGCGCTTGTACTTTGCTAGGAATTTCTGCGCGTCCTTTACGCTGCGACGATCGCTGTGATTAGAGCGCGCACGACGCTGGAATTGGATCACTCACGATGCGCCCGTGACCCCGCAGAACTGGGCCATGGCCTCCTCCATCTTCTTATCCACCATGATTCTCTTATGCGGGAGTGCAGCTGCTGGATGGACACGATGGGGGAAGACGCGATGATTAGGTCGATTGGACTGTGATGCAGTTATGAGGCGCACGTGGAGAGGGAATCGTCAGCCATGTTGGATCTCGCGCATTACGAATCATGTACGCACCAGGAAATTCCTGAATACGAGAGCGCTGAGGCCGCCGAGGAGAAGGAGAACTGCGAGGCCGAACGTCGTGGATGTTGAGGACAATGCGGCCTGTTCAGAGGAACGTGGTGCGCGGCCGCCCGGGATCCCCGTCCCGTTGCTCCGACAAGCTTTGCGCTTATTTGTGGCGCTCGTGTTCGCATGTTGATTGACCTTCACGGTACTGACGCAATTACCCGCGTCAAGCGCTTGCCGTCGTATCTGGCCAAGCGGCCTCCGCACCCGAGCTGACCACCTTTGGTCTCCTCTGTTCATAAAGTCAACGCTGTGCGCCCCACAAAACCAATAGCTGCTGCCTCATGCCCTTCCTCATGACATCTCGCTGAGACAGCGTCTTTATCTGATCCTCGTCTCCATCCAACCGGAGACTACAGGAGGCAGGAACGAGGTCCGTCAGCGGAGGCGCTACGGGAATATTCCCCGCTCTCGCTCATGGCTTCCTGCCTCGATACAGTACCTGCGGGTGAGTCGTGACGACCACCATCCACTCCGCTACCCATACGTGTTGGCTTCATGCACAACGTAATTCTGGTACGCTTTGCTTTGTTCCGACTGTCGCATTGCACCTCCATTGTACTCGTCACTTCACTTGCAATGGCTATACGTTTCTCGCGGCTATCTTCTCCTTTCTCTCCTCGAAGCGCATCCCATTGCCAATGACCGTGTTGGGAATTTGAAGGCCTCCCGAGACTGTACGTGCTTCATTGGCCTCGGTTACAGCCGACATACGCTGTGCCTCCTACCGACCCACCCTTGTTTGTTGAGTCCCTCATGTCCGTCTTCCATGCCCATCAACTTCTTCTATTAAACCTTCCCCGTGCTCAAACTCAGCGAAATTGCCCGGATTGTCCCTCGCGGCATGCAGATCCTAGAGATTCATTCAACGGGTGCCTTCTGTTAGTCCCCAGCCACACCCAATTCTCCAAGCTATACGAATCCTTTCTTACCCCGCCTTTGCTACGCGCTGACATACTTCGAAGGAACTCTGCAAGACGCCGGACACGAAGGAAGACACGTACTCCAGCAGGCCGCCTGTCCTCTTCTCTCATTGACCGGCTATGAGCGTACCACGAAAAGCGCTCTTCATATCAACTCTCATTTGACAAGCTGCGCGAACCCCGAACCCTCTGTTGAAGGCACCCTTCGAGCGCGAATCGCCGCATACAAGACTTCCCGCACGAGGTTCGAACCCCAGGCGGCAATGCCACGCGCACACGGGAGCAAAACGGCATCAGGCTGCCGCCGGAACAATTGAGACCGTCTCGATCATGATCAGAGCGAGATCATCACAGGCGATGCCGTTCGCCACGCCAGACGACAGCGCC